ACCCCTATTACTAAAATATAAAAAGAGTGCAATTTAAAACGAAACCCAAATATCCTCTGTTCACTGAGGGCTTTAAGTAGAAAGGTGAATCCTCTGTAGCAAGGAGTGATCCTGTGAGCAGACAGCATCTGTCAGGTCTGGAGCTGTGCAGCAGGAGGGCTCGGCTATGCCAGGAATGCACTCGCTTATCTCAGGCACCTTTTTTTTTTTAAAGCTGCAGTGACTGTGGTTTCATTAGCACTTTCTGGAGAAAGGATCCCTTTGCTTACAGACAACGAGCTGTACAGTGTTCAAACAGAGCCAGGCCCCAGAGCCTGCAGAGCCACTGAAGGGGCAGAGGGGTAAAGTGACCCACCACAGATTAAGGAGCAGATCAGAGGTGGAAGGGGGAACATAAAGCAGCCTTCCCAGTTCCCAGACCATGAAAAGCTCCACTGGCATCCTTTGGATTGCTCACATCCATTCAGAGATAAAAATTTGGCCCTTTGTAATCTTTTCTCAATCAGTTTACTATGTCGGTGTTACCGGCATTGCAGTCAGGTGAAAGAAAACCCAATGATATTTTAAGCCTTGTACCAATTAGCTTTGCTCCAGGCAAGGTTAGAGAAAATACCAATAACTTTTCTCCAGCAAAACTGTCACCAGTGGAATTCAATTTGTGGTATCAATATCAGGAGCATTTGTCAAAGCAAATCTCTCAGACCAATCTGGCTTGATTCCAGTGTCACGTTTTCTGCAATGGAAATCTGTCCCCCAGTTACCAGCCTGGCTCAGGGCTCTGCATTTTCACTGTTAAAAAGCCAAAAGGTATTTTTATTAAACCAGAAATTACGAACTTCTGAACAATGTAAGCTGACATAAAGTAGTATTAAGCTTATTGCTCCCATTTTATTAATTAGCAGTGATACATCACTTGTTCAGACAATCCCTCCTTCAAAGTAAACTGTGCATTGTTCAGCTTCCTGAACTCATCCCTGATGCTTCTATCCCTCTTTACCTTCAAATTCTGCTGCTGTGCTGCTTTTAATGTTTCTAAAGGATTCATACAGAACAATAGCATTATTGCTTCTCTTGCAAGTTCTTTGCCTTTCAAGAACATACTCAGGAGAACACAAATTACCTTTTATTTCCAGAATGATCTAGGAATACTGTAACAACTCAAAAGTCCTTAACATTCACAATAAATAAGACTAAATTTTTTCAAGAGATATCATTTGTTATTAAGTAGGATTCCTTTCCAAACAGCCAGTAAACTATTCTTTTCTGCCAACATTTGTAATTATGACCTGCCTTTCCCAAAGGAAGTTTTGCAATGCTTTAGCAACTGAGATGGATTACAGGATAACTTAGAAGATGACAAAAAGATCTGCAGAATCTTTGGGCATAAAATTCACAAGATCTTTTTGTTATAAATAAAACAAAAGGTTTTTTACAAAAATCCTCTACAAGTCCATTAAGCAACTGCACCCTTTCAGGGGCACTAACCCTAAATTCAGATACTAAGGACCACAGCCAAAGGAATGCTGTGTCATAGAGCATGGAAAAGCACTTATTCTGATTTATCCCAAACCACTAATTATTCAAAATACATTTTGCTGATTAGGTCATAAAGAGTAAAAGAAAACACATGTCATTATATGGCAATTGTTAAACATGAAAAAAAGCTTGGGCAATATTGTAATTGTGGAGAAGCATGAATGGTTTGAGGCTAACCCCTGTGTAGAGAGGAAACATGGTATTTAAAGTTTAGGTAAACCTCAGTTAATATATAACCAAGTGCATTCTTGGAGCATTGTGCATCGATACTGCCTCCCAGAAAATCAGAAAGCACAGAAAATTATAGTCTGCCATTATCATGTAGCTCAAGTGCAGTTAGAGGTGCCTTTCCTGTTCATCTCATATGTGAAAAATTGCCTTTGGAACACCTTCCACATGATTCTAGCAAGCCACAGCTTCTTAAAGATGTATCTTTCTATCTTTCCATGGGACAAGCAGAGTGCTGGTTTCTTCAGGTCTCAGTAAAAACCAAGAAGATTTTTTTTTTAATATTTTGTGGATTTGGTTTTCAAAAAAATCAAGTTATTTACGAGGTGGCATAATTCTAAATCTATGCTAAATTGGTTGAAAATGCTTTTGAATTCTGTTGGCTGGATTCTATTACAAAAGCACAGCAAACATGATAGTCCAGCAGGAGCTGTCTGTGCCTGGTTTTAATTCTGGTTTGGATGACAGTGTTGCCACAGTTACTTGGCAGTTTGGGAAGGGTCTGGAGTTATGGTTTTCAATCATGACTGAATCCAGTTTTGCCATTTAGAATCTGATCCAACTTTTGAGTGGATAACATTACATTCTGTAGTATTAATATCATCATAATTTTATATCCCATGGCATTGGTAAAAATATGATGGTTCCAAACCACTACACATAAAGCATTAAATACATACAGCCGTAGTATTCTGAAAAATTCATGCATTATAATAGATAAACTCTATACAGTGTCTTATGTTACTGTAGGTGCCCTATATATACAAGGAAATAATTTGGTATATACCTTACAAGTATGTTTTCATAGCTGCAGAAGCACTAAGGAATTTCTGTGCAGGGTTTTATCTCTGCAGAACCAGTCCTAACCAAGTGCTGATTAACTTAATGAAAAGCTTAAGAGACATTTCCTCCCTTAATGTGTAAATTCACTGGTGTTGGTGTCACCTTCTCTAAGATGTTGATTCAATATCAAAGTTATTTTTCCTGAAGACTTCATCAAAACAAGATCCTACTAATGGAACTGCAAGAATTTTCATATGATAATCCAGTAATTGCTGTATTCTTGTCTCTGGAGGGAAAAAAAATACTTACTTTTTATCTGTATTTATTAGGGGATCTGTACTGGACATCTTCTTAGGTGCACTACTTAAATAAAAGTTCAAAATGAAGAATTCTGACACATGAAGAACTGGCTCCTAACCAGGATAACAACTGCTGTAAAAAAAAAAACAAAGAGAAACCACTTTTTGAAATTTAAATGGTCATGTCTATTTTCAGACACTGAAAACATTCTTATTTATTACTGACTAATTGAAATCAAGCTGGAAAAGGAGAACTGCCATGATAAAACAGCTACACTTCACTGCTGAAAATAGTTAACAACACAGACTTCGTTGTATGTGGTACCAAAACATCTCACATCCTAATTCCCTCTTAATTTATGAGGTAGGAATTAGGATAAACCTGAATCCCCTGTGATTAAAATCTTCTAAAAAAGGAAAGAACAGATTACAATTTCAAGATAAAGCAATGTAACTGCCAAAGACAAAAAAAAGTCTCTCTATTTTTTTTTCCCTCCATCAAAGGTTTCTTGTGGAGGGAACGTTGCGTGGAACATGATAAGGTGTTTTGTGTGTCTTTTCTCATGTTTTTTTAACTTACTGTCTAGAATTCAGTGTGCATGAACTTCTCACATGAAGTATGTAGGACAGGCCAAAACACACAAAATGGGATTACATACCACTAAGGTAACAAAACCCCCAGTAATTCACATTGTGCTTTTATTAGCACATACAACAGGTCAACAGGAAACAGAAACACTAATTCCTGCAGGTCAATATTTGGAATACCAGAAAATTTCCTGCAGTTTTCAGATCTCTCGTTAAAGGATCAAAAAACCACTACGTGAATACAGTGGAAGTACCACAATATTGCTTCACTCCAGCCTTTACCATTCTCTTATTCAACACATCTAAATGGAAAATGAAGCAATATCAGGAGCTGCCGGTCCTTATGTGGTTCGTGTTACTGGAACCAGCACAGAAGAGCAGCACTGCTCCAAAGCTGTAAATTCAAGTATTGCTAGAGCAAAGTTTATTATGGTGCATGGGACCAGTCGTGGGAAAAGCTATTGTTTGTGAATTTACCTGACCATGCCCATCCTGAAGTTATTGCTGTTTGCAAACAGCTCTTAATCCCTTTGCAGCGTGTCAATACCTGTGCCTGAACAACAACAAATCCCTGCGCTGTGGGAAGTGAAATTAACAGGCACCAAAACATCACTAGGGAAAACAAACAAACAAATAAACGACCGGTGTCAGTGTCCACAACCGGAGGAGATTTGCACGGTCTCGGAGGGACCAGCAGGAACAGCCCCGTGCCCAGTGCCCATCCGGGGGATGCTGGGGTGGTACCTGAGGGATAACCGGGCACCTGAGGGATAACCGGGCAGTACAGAGGTACCCTGGTTATCCACCAGCAACCTGGTACCAGATACCTGAGGTACCCTGGCACCAGGTTCATGAAGTGTCTGGTTACTCCTCAGTACCCTGGGTACCGGGGTATCTGGTTATCCTTCAGTAGCCTGGTACCAGATATCTGAGTTACCCTGGTTATCCCTCAGCACTCTGGTTATCCCTCGGTACCCTGGTACCAGATACCTGAGGCGTGTGGTTTTTCCGCAGTACCTTGATACCAGGTACTGCGGCACCCTGGTTATCCCTCGGTACTCTTGTACCGGGGGTATCCTAGTTATCCCTCGGTACCCTGGTACCGCGGGTATCCTGGTTATCCCTCGGTACCCTGGTACCGGGGGTACCTTAGTTATCCCTCGGTACCGCGGGTACCTTAGTTATCCCTCGGTACCACGGGTATCCTGGTTATCCCTCGGTACCCTGGTACCGCGGGTATCCTGGTTATCCCTCGGTACCCTGCTACCAGGTACCTGCGGGACAAACCCCCCCTCCTGGCCGTGCCCCGCTCGCTGAACCCGCTCCTGGCCGCCCCTCCGGTGCCGCTCCCGTCCAGCACCGCCCGCCCCGGCACTGCTCCGTGCCGGGAGCCCTCGGAGGTGCGCCAGTTACCTCGTACACAAACCCGCCGCCCGAGCGGTCCCGCTGAGGGGGGGACGGAGGGACCGAACACCGGCGGGTGCACCGGGACCCCCCGCGCCTCTGCACCGCTCCGAGGGGGCGCGGCGGGCGGGCAGGCGATGTCGGGCGGGCATGCGATGTCAGGCGGGCAGGCGATGGCGGCTCGACCCGCCCCGTTCCCGCCTCATCCCGCCTCCGCTCCCGCCCCTCAGCCGGCACCGCCCGGCCCTTCCAGCGCCTCTCCCGAGAGCCCCCGCGCCGCGGACATGGCGCTGTGCGGGCCGGGCTGGGCTCGCTGTGCCCGCGGGCTGCGGCTCGGGGCGCTGCCCCGGTGCGGGCTCTGGGGGACCCGCGGCGTGCGGAGCTCCAACCCCTTCACCCGGCAGCAGGAGGAGGAGTGGCGGCGGCGGAACCGCTCTGCCGTGGGCTACATCGCGGCGGCCGCCGCGGGCATGGTGGGGCTGTCGTACGCGGCCGTGCCGCTCTACCGCCTCTACTGCCAGGTACGAGGGGCCCGCGGGCGGCGGGGGCGCGGGGAGCGCGGGGCCCTCACTGCCCTTCCCTGACAGGCCACGGGGCTCGGCGGGACCACGGGCGCGGGGAGCAGCGCGGAGCGGATCGAGAGCATGGAGCCGGTGCGGGACAGGGTCATCAGGGTCACGTTCAACGCCGACGTGCACTCCAGCATCCAGTGGAACTTCAAGCCGCAGCAGAGGGAGATCTACGTGAGTCGCTCCGATTCCCCCCCTCAGATCCCTCACCTAGAATCGTCAAGGCTGGAAGAGAGACCTTCAGAGATCACCCATGCCAGCCATCCACCCGGCACTGCCACTGTAACCCCTAAACCACCAAACCACAGCACCCCACGCCAGATCCACGCGCTTCTGGAACATCTCCAGGGATGGTGACCCCACCATTCCCTGGGCAACCTGTTCCAAGCCTGACCACACGAACAGTGAAAAATTTTCTAATATCTAATCTGAATCTCCCCTGCCTGAGTTTAAGGCCATTTCTGGTCCTCTGACTGGAAGCACAGCAGAAGAGACATGCCCCCACCTCACTACACCCTTGTGTGGAGTTGTGGAGAGCAATGAGGTCCCCCATGAGCCTCCTTGAGACTAAACAAACCCAGGTCCCTCAGCCCTTCCTCATCAGACGTTTTCTAGACCTTTCACGAGCCTTGTTGCCCTTTGCTGGACACGCTCCAGCACCACAGTGTCCTTTTTAAAGTGAGGAACCCAAAGCTGAACGCCCGGCTGTGAAGGCACCAGGTTTTGCCTCGTGTGATTTTGTCTCCTGCATCCCGATTGTGGACATCCATCCATTGGCATATCTGGGCCCTGATCTGGAAAACACACAAGACACTTCAGCCCAGGGTGCTCCCTCAGTTCTGCCACTTTGGGATGGCACGTTGGGTGCTGGTGGCTTCTGCTTCCAGAGGGCAGAACTTAAGTGCCTGCTGTGGTGTAGTCAAAGCGTAGTTGCCTCCCACCATCCCATCAAGACCTGCTATCAAAACTGTATTTTTATATACACTTCATGGTATACACACCATATGTATATGGTATATACACTGTAAAGTGTGTATATATACTTAAAATACAAATATAGAGTGTAACTGTATATCTAAACCTGTGCCATTTTTTCCTCTTCCCTGTCCTCGCAGGACTGTTTTTGAATGGGGGTGAATTGTATGTAAGCAAAATATTCATGAAATAATCAATTTGAAACAGCAAAAGAGAAAATTAATTCTAGCTAAAGGCCAAAGAACTTGGTTTGAGGGGTGGAGGGCTGCACTGGCTAAAGAAAAAAAGAAAATCACTGTACAATTATGTTACACAGGTGGTACCAGGAGAGACTGCACTGGCATTTTATAAAGCAAAAAATCCTACTGACAAACCAATAATTGGAATCTCCACCTACAACGTGATCCCCTTTGAAGCAGGACAGTATTTCAATAAAATACAAGTAAGTGTGAACAAAGCAAAGATTGCATTTTCCTTTACATGAAAGAAAATAGTTATCCATCAATTAGCACCACTGACTCTGAGGGCAGGTGGGAACAAGGTGAGCTGGCCTGGCCCACTGGCACCTTTGCACACTTCATTAAAAGCTAATTTCTTTCGCTGTAATACAAGAAACGGAACGGAATTGCTGTTGTGTTGCTCATATGATTGATCCTTCCCAGGATTTTAGGGATGTACAGGGAATGAGAGTTGATATTAAAAGACGAAGCTTTCTCTCATGTTGGCAGAGATAAAACTGCCAGCCATCACTATTGTCTAATTGTGTTTTTTTTTCTTCTCCCCCTGCAGTGTTTTTGTTTTGAAGAACAGAGGCTGAATCCTCAAGAGGAAGTGGACATGCCTGTCTTTTTCTACATTGATCCAGATTTTGTAGAGGACCCTAAAATGGCTAAAGTTGATTTGATCACCCTCTCTTACACCTTCTTTGAAGCAAAGGAGGGACAGAAGTTGCCACTTCCTGGATATCAGTAATGGGCCATCTCTACAAAAAGGACTTTTGCGGCCTGACTGACAGTTTTAAGACCATTTTTCCTTGCAATTCAAAACTGCAGGAGTACTGTGCAATATGAAATTATATTATTAAACCAACACGGGCTGTTATTAAAGTATATATATATTTTTTTAAAAAACAACTTAATGCAGTTGGAATACTATTTGGAAGGGAATACACTGTTCCTGGAATTGAGAGGGTTTTCTCAAGCCATCTTTTCATAAAATGTTATCTGAATACTATGAGACAAATTTTTAAACCCAAGGGTAAATTGAGATCTTCATTTAAATACAGAGGAACAAATCAGTTTATTAAGCATCTAAAGTTGCATTGCTGGCTCTGGAGAATAAATTCCATGTTAAGTTACTTTAGAAAAAGGTAAAACCAGATAACCAGTTAAGGAAATCTCATAACTAAATAAAGTTAGACTGTATTCCTGTGTAACCCTCCCTGGCACTGGAGGATATGATGATTCAGAAGATGAGGCACCCTCTCAGATTATTACTGAATTCTACTGAGTTCATTTGGTAAGAGCAGACTGCTCTGAAACTGTTATCATTAGAACAGTAATTTAAGTGTAAGCACATCAGATCTGTGGGTTGGTTTCCATTTAGAAATACCACCTAATTTCCATGTTGTGTTTTACTCATTTCAAGTATCTGTACTCTAATTAGAGTACTCTCTGCCTCTGCAGAGGGCTGCACCCTGGGCACCTCTACACAGAGACAGGCTTGGCTTAGGTACGAAATGCTTTGAGGGAAGGGCAGTACATAAACAACTGCTCTAAACTGCAGCTAAATTAACAGTGTAGGAGTCTTCTCAAAAGCCTAAATCAGCCCCATTCAGAGGCTGAGTCCAACAGAACCTGCCCAGCAGCACAGCAGTTCTTCAGAGGGACTCGCTGTTTACCACCAGACCACGTAAGCCTGTATTTATGTAACTTTTGGTCATTATCTGTGGGGTGGGTGTAATAACACTTTATCATTGCTTTGCAAACGAGGAGTTGCTGAGCAGGTTTAAGTGACCTACTCATTTTCAGACAGGAGTTAATCTCAGCTAGTATCTCATCTGCTAGGCCAGTTCTTTCTACCCCTTTCAGCAGATGAGATCTAACAAAGACTTATGTTGGTTTGCTTGGACTCTGAAAAGGTAATGGGTACATCAGAAATGACTTCCAGTTACTTGAGTCTCAGTTATATTTGCATACAATAATTCAAGAAGTGTTCTTTTGAAAATAAATGGATGCTACCTTTAAAATGCATTACTGTATCTGTGTTGGCTAAACAGATTCTGGATGACATTCATGTCAGGTCTTCACTGTATACTAAAGTTATAAGTTTTCATTCTTTCCTCTCTCTAATGCATTTTATCCAGCAAAACATGTGGAGCCCACACAAATTAAATATATCTGTATGAAGACAGCAGCAAGCTTTATAATTCCAGCATGCTTCAGGAAAAGAAAACCCAACATCAAGACCAATCTTTGAATCCAGGCTAGGGGAAAAAAATTCTTACCTGGGTTGACTTTAGTCCATTGTCTTTTTGAAAGCTGATCAGGGCAGTTCTCCACACATTCCTTTGTTCTGGCCACCTGCTTCAGAGGAAAAGGAACATCCCCCTGGCAAGTTCCAGTTCCTTAAAAATGCAGGTTCTCCCCCCTAGTTTGAAAGCCCAAGTTTGTGCAGATGCTGAGCACATTCCAAGTGCAAAACAAGCTCTGTAACCTCCGTAATTAGCCAGTTCCCTTCCATTTATCTGTGATCATTTTGCTGCTTTAAATACATGAAGGTTCAGTCAGCAATCATCCATTATGGATTACCACACTGAAATAGCCCTTTTTGATTTGTTACCCATCAGTGTGTGGGTTTTGCCAATACAACGAAGCTGTAGGGAAAAAATTGATCCACCTCAAATCCTATTTTCAGCTGTTTTCTCAGGCTGCTGCAAATAATACAAGAAAAATTATAGTAAGACAACTTGCCTTTTCACCTCAGCTTACAAAAACCCCAAACTTGTGTTTTGGATAGAAGCAAGGTGTTCTAATGGTCCTGCAGCAACATTGCTGACTATGCAATGACACACCACAGGTTTACACTAAAATACTTCCAAAACCACCTACATTTGGTGTTTCAGGGAATACACAAATATGCAAAAACTCTGAAGAAATGAGAGTTAACTTCTCAGTAAGCATTTGCTTTTATTTGGAATTTTGTGCTACAAAAATTGCAAAACCAGCTGAGAACTTATCCCTTAAACAGTTACCATAAGGAATGTTTAAAATGCAGTATTTCACAAAAAATTAGCTTATCTGCTATGAACATGAACTATGTCCTCAAATTTTATATCAACCATAAATTCAGAGAACTATACCTGTTAAAGTGCACAGTTTACATTCAGCATTAAAATAGATAAGGCACTGTAATTTTTTAAAGATAAAACTGTTATTAACAGGGTTAAACAACTTAATTAAAGTAAATGGATAACTACTGCTCATCTGCATTGTAGATAATTAATTTTTCCTTCACCAGAACAATCTCTGCAGGGCAGGAACATTGAGAGAAATAATTGATCCCCCTTCAATATTTACTGAGTAAATAAAAGCAACAACAACAACATAGGAACAGGCAGGTTTTTTCTGTTCTGTTAATCATGGATGACAGCACTTTGTGTCCCATAGCTTTGGTTCTCTATATTGGGGGATTTTAGGAAGGAAATAAAAAAAAAGAAAATGTGTATTCAGGATATGATTGTAGGAAAGTAACACTGTGTCTTCAGATATCTCTGAAGAGGCCCAATTTTAGAAAGAAGTCCTGTATATCAAAACCCCTTTATAAATTTCCAGGGAGATGAACACAGAGAGCAGTGAGGCCAAAACAGAAACTGGATTCTGCAGTTTCTGTAAATGTAGTGTCCTTTTCGTTTACTTGTGTCAGGTGTCAAGTGTTACTTCCTACACAGGTGAATTTAGAAGTCATATTTTAAAGGCCCCCCAAATACCTCAAAATAACCATGCAAGTCACCGTGAACAACACACAGCTGAACATTTAGGACAAATTGTCAAGGTGTGTAGATCCAAGTAACTCTTCAGCTTGCACACAGCTTAGTACTCCAATACTAATTATTTGTTGTGCCCAAACCTCTTGTGTTATTCACTTTGTAGGTTACAGGAAGCACTGCCCAGGAACAGCACCAGAGAATAACGTGGTCAGGACAAGATTCCCCCTCCACCCTCAGCAGTCTGTGTTCTTTTTAACTTCTGGCTTCAGCACATCATCGATTTCTTCATAAATAGCTCTGAAAGAGGAGGAATGACATCACAGGTGTTTCCTTTGGACAGAAGGCACCAGTGCAAAGCTGTCCCAGCACGGACTGCCAAGGGTTTGTAGTGTTGCCTCAGAGTGGCTTTGGTTGCAGGATGCCCAGGTTTCCATGGAAACCAAGAGGCAACCCTGTGGTGCTGCTCTGATTAGACAGTTAATGAGATACCTCTGGACATTGTCACTTCTGATGAAACAAGTTTGGGAGCAGGACTGCAAAAAGCAAATGGCAAGTGTACCACCATGCAATTACTGCACTAATTGAAACTAAACAATGAAAGCTTTGTTGAGGTTTTTCTGCCTCAGAATTCAATGGTTCCTTGGAAATAAGTTTTGTATAGATGGCTCTATTTTTTTTTTTTTTTGCAATTTACTGGTAGAAAGGAGAGTTCAGCCATCTGTTTAGTTTCGTATTAATTTGCTGTCTGACTCTTTTGGCCCTCTGGAGAGTCCCACCATCTATTCCTTTTTGTAGTTTATATTTAAATTGATGATTTTCTTGACATGCAGTAGAAAAACATTCTTAAAAATCACGATTGCTGTGAACTGCAATTCCTTTGGTTACCTTGTTCCAGAACTGCCTGTGCTGAAGTGTCAATCAGCTTCCTCCACCAGGACCCTTTACCATATTTCATTCACCTTTCTATATCACTGGACAGGATTTTAGTAGATCATTTTTGACACAGCATTAGTCCTCTGTTTTTACAGATGCCATTTAATGAGCACATTATAGGAGTTTATTCCTTAATTGGTTATGCCATAAATATTGGAAGAAAATATACAAAATGCAGCCACTGTCAGGTACATCAGTGATCCAGTTGGTCAGTTAACTCAGTCTAAGTGGTGTGGTCTGTTTTCTCACTCAGAAGAAAAAGCCATCTTGCCTTCGGCATGTGAGAAAACTGTATTCTGTCTGGTTTAAAAGTTACTTACTCAGTGGGAGCCAAGGGATCAAATTCCATTATCTCGTAGTAATGAGATGACTGTGGCTTGTTCTTTGATGCAGCTGAAGAATAAAGGCAGGCAGATACATTCAGATTTAAATGACAGTGAAAAGCATATTTACTACATGTTACTTTTAGTGTCCTCCTGAAAGCAGCAGATTATCTGCTATGGATCCAGCTGCTTTAAATACTAAAATGGATAGACTCTAATAGAAGCCATGAGCAATATGAGAGTTTGTCATTGATTGTTGCTGCCCATAGACTTAAGCAATCATTAAGTAAAGGCCTTAATCTAACAAGAAAAATAAATCTCTCTGAAACAGGTGGTTTGCAGTACTTGTTACCTGCTGGTGATGGTCCATTCAATGGTGTCTGTCCAGCCTTCACATTTATTGGGTTCAGAGGCACTGGGCTTAAAAGAGTTGCCAGCTAAGGACATGAAGCAAAACCACGCTTAAAAAGTTGTTCTGTGAGAACTGGTTTGATTTAATTTATATAACTGCTGACTTATCTTTACTCTCAGATTATTGCAGCTCAAGTTCTAAGGTCAACATTTAACAAGCCAATTAATCTCCATTCCCCACACAAACTTTGAAGCATCTTTTAGTGTCATCTGTAACACGTTTATATAATTTACTTCTGTGTAATTTGTTACACTACACAGACTCAAAGACTGGCTCTTGTTTGCAGTTTAAAATAAGGACTATACATATGTGTTTGGGGGCTGCTTCTCATCTTTTCTATTTCATGCTGCCTACTCCAGAACAGCATTCAAATTCATACCATTACCCCAAAGCCCCTTCATGTTCTTTGCATTCCTTCTGTCATGGCTGTTTCTCTGCACATGGCATTTGTCTTACACTGCACTTGGGGTTTAAGTGTTTGATTTTTTTGGTGAGCTGTATTTCTGGGATTTTCCTTTTTTTATATTTCTTTTTTTTTTAATATCTTATTTGGTATAGGAAATACACCAGAGTAACATCATGGCAATAGGAGGAGATCTCAGCTTGCTTCACATAGCAACAAATTAAACACAAATAATAGAGCAACTGCTTTCTGCAAACTCCCCTGGGATTGTGCTGGACCCAAGGAAAGATTCTTTCATATTAGCAGCTGTGGTATCACAAGAGGAAAGCTGACCTGGTCACCAGGTTCCCTGATGTATGGAGGATCAGAGAACAGATCTTTTGTATCCCACTTGGAAGCAGTCAGGGTACATCCAAACAGTTCTCACTTTGACAGCTGCCAGACAAGAATGATTATCCTGAACATGAGCATTACTCACATTGCTATAGGTATGTCCAGCTGGGTTGTTCACATTATGGTTTTGTGCTTCAGTTGCAAATCTAGGAGAGAGTAATACATGGAAAGTAACTAAGAAATGATCAAAACTGTACAATCCAATTATCATTATTTTTTTCGCGGGTCTGTCTTTCCTGTATGTCACAACTGAGAGCAGCACAGGCAGGTGGGCCAGTGTCCCATTCAACAAGGACACCTCTCCTACCTTAAACTCTTTTACTGACCTGTTTCATGTTTCTGCCTTTCACGGCAGCACTCCAGCAGAAAGCCACAGATATCTCAAGTACATTTTGCCTGTCAAGATACATCTCTCTCTATAACTAAATAGTGCTGCCAGAATAGTTTATTTTAAGCCTGTTTAGCAATGTCTAGCACACAGGTAGTTTTCACTTGTGTAAAAGTAGTAAATCTGTGTTCTCAGATCTTTCTGTACTGATTAATTGAATTACAGAGTACTAATACCTCTGAGGATCTGTTATCTGCTCCCATTCCTTGATAAGAGAGTACTCACGGGGATTGCTGAGCTTTTGTAGGAGTTGCTGAATCCAGCTGTGGATAAATTGATGGATGATGCCTGTTTTTATCTTCAGGGTGTGCAGATATGCCATCTGAAATTCAAAGCAATAATTAATGATCACTTAAACATTATTAAGCTGATGTTAGTTCCTTTGAACACTGTAAGAGTAAAGTTTTGTTTGGAAGGCCTATAAAGAGTCTGAAGTGAATTGCTGTTTATCACATGAAAGGCAAAATTTTAATAACTCTAAGAAGTAATTGATC